TATTGACAAGAAAAAGTACTTTGAGAGACACAAAGAGAAAATGTAAGGTGATCTTTCTTTATTCTTTCTTCTTTCTTCTCCACACCTCCATATACCATATAAAATTATAAGCCCTGTATATGAGCTAAGTAGGTAATAGTAGTTATATAAATTTATTCCCATTAAAAAGGAATTACAAAGTTTAATCATCTACTAAATTAGAAATTACCAAAGGTATTGATTACAGTGCAATTTCTTGAGAAAGTAGATGTTAATGGACTGTGTATAAAATGCATGAAATTATGGGTGTTAATCACTATTATGATTACATGAAAGAAGTGGGAAATGAGGATGACAAACGGTGGGAGGTGAAACATCTAATAAGAATTTATTTATTTATTTATTATTATTATTTTTTCAATTGATTTCACGAAACGCACCGTCGTAGTTACAACTGCTCTGAGGCTCAGTCTAGCACCCCGGCGGATCTCCCGATGCTGATTTTCTTCCCAAGGACAACTTCCTCAAAGCCTAATACATTTTTTCCTCGTAGGATTACGAATGTTAAAGCAACGACGTCCCACAAATCTCTTCTAAATTTGAACATCAAAGTCTCTCTTTGACGCAGCCTCCGTTCCGTGCTCTTCAAAGGTACACATTCTCCTCTCTAATTGGAATCCGCTGGTTTAGCTCTAATTTTCAACCATGGAGATGCCACTTGCTCGCTTTCAGAACATTTCATTGGATCAGCTACGAAGTATCTCATCCTCAGATCATAAGGTTTTTCGGGAAAATTCTTTGTTTTCTGGTAACTGTTTTGGAATCGGTAGGAGAAAATGGAGGAACCCATCTGATCAAATCAAGTGTCTTTCACTGGAGCAGGGGTTGCAACCGCGGCCCAAGCCAGATCTTTCGAGAGTTCACACAGATGTAAAAGAAGTTCGACTGGATGAAACTCAAGTAAAGAAATCCGGTTTGAGAATTTGTAGCAAGATAGAAAAGCTAGTTTTGTGCAATAGGTTCAGAGAGGCATTTGATTTGTTTGAAATTTTGGAGTTGGAAGGCAGTTTTTTGGTGGGTACTAGCACTTATGATTTGTTAATCCAGGCCTGTATAGGGTTGAGGTCTGTTAGAGGAGTGAAGAGGGTGTTTAATTACATGACAAGAAATGGGTTTGAACCAGATCAGTATATGAGGAACAGGGTACTGCTTATGCATGTCAAATGTGGGATGATGATTGACGCGCGTAATCTGTTCGACGAAATGCCAGAGAGGAATATGATTACGTGGAACACGATTATTTCAGGATTGGTTGATGCAGGGGACTACTTGGAGGCATTTAGGTTCTTTATAAATATGTGGGAGGAGATTTCTGATGCTGATACAAGAACTTTGGCCACAATGATCAGGTCGGCTGCTGGATTGGAACAGATTTCTGTTGGCAGGCAGCTGCATTCTTGTGCTTTGAAGATGGGTATTGGTAAAGATACCTTCATCTCTTGTGCATTGATTGACATGTACAGTAAGTGCGGGAACATTGAAGGTGCTCAATTTGTTTTTGTTGAAATGCCAGAGAAGACAACAGTGGGATGGAATAGTATCATAGCAGGTTATGCACTTCATGGTTATAGTGAAGAAGCTCTGAATATGTATTATGAGATGCGAGATTCTGGTGTTAAAATGGATCATTTCACATTCTCAATAATTATAAGAATCTGCACAAGGCTAGCTTCATTGGAACATGCTAAGCAAGCACATGCAGGTCTAATCCGTCATGGTTTTGGATTGGATATAGTAGCTGATACAGCTCTTGTTGACTTCTATAGTAAATGGGGAAGAGTAGAGGATGCTCAGAGTGTATTTGACTACATGCCTTGCAAGAATCTCATATCTTGGAATGCCTTAATAGCTGGATATGGTAATCATGGTCATGGGGAAGAAGCCTTGGAGAAATTTGAGCAAATTCTGGAAGAAGGAATGAAACCCAACCATGTTACTTTCCTTGCTGTATTACATGCTTGTAGCTATTCAGGATTATCAGAACGTGGTTGGGAAATTTTTCAATCGATGAGCAGGGATCACAAGATCAGACCCCGACCAATGCATTTTGCATGTATGATTGAATTATTAGGAAAAGAGGGCCTTTTAGATGAAGCCTTTGCATTAATAAGAGGCGCTCCCTTCAAGCCTACAGCAAACATGTGGGCTGCCTTGCTAACAGCTTCTCGTGTTCATGGAAATCTAGAACTGGGGAAATTTGCAGCTGAGAAATTATATGGGATGGAACCTGAAAAGCTCATTAATTATGTTGTGCTTTTGAATATCTACATCCGTTCTGGCAAGTCAAAGGAAGCAGCTGCAGTTGTGCAGACCTTGAGAAGAAAGGGTTTGATAATGCGTCCAGCATGTAGTTGGATAGAAGTTAAAAAACAACAGCATGTTTTCCTTTCTGGAGATAAATGCCATGTCCAAACAAAGGAAATTTACCAGAAAGTTGATAGCTTAATACATGAAATTTCAAAGCTGGGTTACGTTCCAGAAGAGAAAACTTTGCTTCCGGATGTTGATGAGCAGGAACAACGTGTATTGTTGTACCACAGTGAGAAGCTGGCTATAGCATTTGGGTTAATCAATACTCCAGAGTGGACACCTTTGCAAATTGTGCAGGGCCATCGGATTTGTAATGATTGTCATAACGCTATTAAGTTTATATCTCAGGTTACTCAACGGGAAATCGTCATGAGGGATGCTAGCAGATTCCACCGTTTCAAAAATGGGAGTTGTTCTTGTGGTGATTACTGGTGATGGCAATCCAATTTTGTTGAAGAATTTAACATTGTCATTTTATATCTTTTTCTGTCCCCCTTATTACACAGAAATACAATCAGTTATCTACTAAAATTCTAGTTGTAAAATTTTAAGTTTATTATAAAATTTTAGCATTCTTTTCTCAAACAACACTATATCCATTCCTTGATTTCCTTTTCACATGGAATTGTGACATCAATGCAATTGTAGCTTGTAAGCATGCATAGAAGATCCTTTCTTACACACAATTACCTGTACATCTTGTTGCGTCTTATAAGAAGGGATGACCATTTTGCATTTCTTGGAAACTTGGAAAGTGAAGTGAGATGCACCATGTGGCTGTCATCAATTTGAACTAAAGGTGTTGAAGTTGAACATTT